CGGCCTTGGTACACAAATAACTATTTGGAGTCACCGACAAATCTACCATTGTTCTCACTGCACAACGCAAGTGCAAGGCTGCAAGCCATCCTATCTTTAGCTTTACCCACTCTACCTGCTTTCTAAACGCTAATTAATGCTAACTCAACCTCAGTTGACTTTTAGTGGACTAATAAAAGAATATATTTTTTTTGTAAATATGAGTATGAGTATTTTCAATTTTTTGGGCCGGGTATTATGTTTGCATGACCAGGCCGGGACGTTCTACGGAACGGCACTGCAGGTCCTTATTCAATAATTCAAATTTTTGGCCCAACTAACCCAAAAACACGAACTATCTGGTCTTTAAAATTTCTTTAAAATATGGAAAATGCTTTCGTCCCAAAATTTACTTTTGCTTTTTAATTTTTTATCACATTGGAAGATGGAATTAACCGATTAGGTCCAGTTTTTGCGTATGCTCTTTCTATTTTTGCGAAAAATTTTCAAAAATTCTTATCCCAATTTAGCGAACTCTTAAAGGAGAGTGCGAAAAATTCCGGAAAAGGTGTGCGAACATGTGCGAATGACAAGAGCACATTTTGAATACGGACTATGGTATCTTGTTCAGTCAGAGTATCGCAATTTCTATGCCCGTATAGGTATAGGAAAAATTTTCTTATCCGGAGGAATATCGAATATTGTGAAAATGATTTTAGATTATCCGCCTAGTTTTCCAAGAAGCTTCGATTGCGATTGGCCTATCTCATAGTAACGTGACAGTTAAAAACATTGTTTTTCAATACTTTTTAAAAATATCGAAAATAATGAAATAGAATTTTACATGAAATTATATTTTTTCAATTTTAAGTGGTTCACATAATATATAAAGGGTGTTACAAACAAAAGTAATTACATGGGTACCTATATCGGTTTGCAATAATATTAGAATGCCTAAAAAATTCGTTAATTATACATTCGATTGGGCGTAGTCGCCAATACGAAACTACCAAGGTTTGGTTTACAAGATGGCGACGATGTTTAAATTCTTCGAAACACTAATATGTGGTTGCTTGTTGATATTTTTAGTTCCGATACAGAACCTAATTGTGCTCGGAATAGCGCAACTGTTTTCCTATCTAAACAAAATTGTATCTCTGAAAAGTAGTATTCTTATCTTGCCAGTGGTGACCCTGCAGCACCAACCGTGGTCGCGGGGCAGTACTCTGTAGCAGAGCCCCCGCCAAAGTGAAGCGCTTATGACTTCACATTTCCGTCCGTCCGTATGGCGTTCCGTGCTATAGCTCAGTCCCTAGACCTCGTATCGACTTCGGGTTTTCGTTATATGAAAGCTTATGGACTCCAGGTGGACAACTATCAAAAGTTAACTTTGACATTCATCACGTGTTATTGCTCCAAATCGGTCAAAATTGTTATTTATGCACCAATTTTGTTGGGAAAAAGACCAAACTCCATCGCTAGATGACCTAGAGGTTATATGTGTATTTTTGGCGAACAAAATATTTTATCCAAAATCGTCCTGAAACCTTCATTTCTTTCTTCTACCTTTCTTTCTGTCAGGAAATTTTAGTTTGCATGACAGAGGCAGAGCAGACTACGTTTCCTGCCGCTTGTCACTTTACTGGCCGTACGTGTCACTTTACCGGCCGCACCGTCACTTTACCGGCCGCATTTTTGGCATTTCCAAATGTCTATAATGACTCCTGTCATCACTGTCAGATTGACATTAATCAAAAGTTATATATAAAAACTGAAATTTTGTATTAAAAGACGATTTCGTAAAATTTAATACAAAACTCGCCAGTAAAATGTCATTACCTGACTCGGAAATTAAAGTACTCGGCCCCAGCACTTTAATATTTCCTCGCCAGTAATGTATCATTTTCCTGACTTTTATGTAAATAACTATTTATTTATTTATTATCCCTCTCTTAGTTCTGGGCCCTCTACAGGCATGCGCCCAATTACAGAGTACCCGCATAATGCTATTTAGAGGTGCCTCTGCAGAAGGTGACTACTCCGGTATTTACCTTACGAATTAGGAAACTATGAACTATTAACCCAAAGGATATGAACATCGTTATTTATGCATCAATTTTCTTGGGTCAATTGCTTAATGCTCAGGAAGTGACCCATGTATATTTTTTGTGACCAACACATTTTTGGGCAAAAAATCAACACATTTTTGGCCAAAAAATGTCAAAATCGTTATGTATCGATTTTCTTGGGAAGAAGAACTCTTATCAGTTTCGGGTTTTCGCTATATGAAAGTTTATGGGTTTCAGATGTGGAACTACGAAAAATTAATTTTAGCATCCATCACTCTATTGCCATAAATCGATCTAAATCTTTATTTATGCACCTATTTTCTTGGGAAAAAGGCCAAACAGTAACATGATGAATCGTAAGTTTCAGCATAAATGCCCCCCCTCCCCTCCATCAAATGAATTTTAAAAGATATATTTTCTTTACAGAAATACAAATAATATAAAATGTGTAAGGGAGATCGTGGTGGCCATTTTATGGCATCCCTTCTGCCAATCGATTCACTACTGCCGATTGAGACACTGTCTAATGGTCACAGCAATTACAGCATAATGCGGCGGAGCCCCGTCTTTGCTGAAATTCTTTAATCTAGCGACACGTTCTTATTGTCGTCCACTTGATTCTCTAAAGATTGTGTGATCAGAAGGTGGATCACTTCTGATAGAATTGCCCTGTTAAATTTCCTTCTAGGAATGTCGTGCCAAAAATTATCTGTCCAAACTTGATTTTCCAAACAAGTGTGAGTACTCCAATACGTGCGTTTGTATACAAATCCGTTCAAGAAGAAAGTACATTCATGGCGAATGCATACGTCTTTCGAAAAATTAGGATTTTCATCAATTCTTTGGGACATTCATTTGCAGAAGTCAATTCTCGTAATCATCTTTGCAAAATTTTTGTAAAACGTGTACTTAAAATGTTATGATCAGGTCCCATAGATACATTCGAGGATACATTAGTCAATTTTGCGACTGTTCAACGTAAAATTTGTGGTAAATTGACCGAGCACCTAATTTTCGCACATTTCATCCAAAATTTACGACTAGGTTACTTGAGAAGATCTTTTATAGTTTATTGTATGGTTGTTTGTTCTTTTGTCCGCTCGTTCGTTTGTGTTCGCTATAACTCTTAGCTAAAATCCCGAGATACGTTTTATATCTTTTAATTTTTGGTCGTTGTTTGTGGTCGCTATAACTCTTTGAAAGTGTCCGATCATCTTGAAATGTGGTGTACGGGTACATTGGATTTTTAAGATGGGACGCTATAAATTTTCACAAAGTTGGCTCAACAGCACCAAACGTTCTAGTACCGCGAGTGGAACAGGAAAAACCTCGGGAAAAACTGTGTCAAAATCGTTATTCTTGCACCGAGATCTTTGGGAAAAAGAAAAAAAAATGACCGTGCCCAAGACATGAATTTGATATGGATCGAAGTTGCAAGGTTAAAATAAATGGTCATTAAAAAAATGACGGTAAATACTAGGTATTCCGTTGTATCGGCTTCTTACACACTGACTCCGTTGACATAAACATCAATTTTATTGTTCTGCCGTCATTTTTTGTAAAGAGAATTTTACGGCCTTTACAAGATGTGTCACTGTGCATATTATATGTTAAAGTTGAAATAGGTGGGGGTGCAATGGTAAATTCTAAAACCAAGGTAAACATTCCAGTAAACTCCCCCTAGCTATCTAAATGGACGTGTTTTGTTTTTTTTTCAAAATTACCAATAACAATTGGATGGTTCGTTTTGAAATTACGCCCAGTGCACTACTAGAATTATAAAGTGCAACTGCGAAGTCTAAGTAAAAATTTCTCATTTGTACAAATACCAATAGTAATAAAAGCAGCAAAGCTGCATTTTTTGGTATGAAATCAAAATGTCATTTTTCGAGAGATTTTCTACCTCGTTTTTGACGCTTCCTCCGTTCGAGGTTTTTCTTATAGCCCCCCTGATGCAAGCCAGTGCCAGTTAGTTAATTGAGCCCTGGTATAATTGCAAGTGTATAACCGGTCGGTGGATGTCCATGGATATCCATGAAAACCCAAGGATATCCCGCGGATTTCCGAGGATATGTCCACGCACTATATGGTTGTTTGGTGTACCAAACTCTATCTGTGGTTTTGTCCTGGGTCTAGGTTACATTAACAGAAACAATTTATAATGGTAGCATGGCCGAGGCGCGAAGGTGGGCAATGAAGTGATTCTTCTGAAATCTTAAAACTCCGTTCCAAGCCGTCAGGGCAATTGTGATTACATAAAAGACTAGCTCAAACGTTGATCTATCGTCTAGACGTACAACAATTCGTTTTCAGTATCTAAATTGTTTTTAACAGCAACAAAGTAAAGACTTATTGGGAGTTATCGCTCTTATTTGCTCATCATTTTGGATAGATAATGTTGTTGGTATTGTAAACAGAAGTACTACTTTCGTTTCTTCCAGTGAGCCGTGTAGGAGTAGTTTTAGTTGCCATAAATTAAGCTAGAGGTGAATTAAATTGCCGAAATTTGTAAGCGCTGACGCAAACGATAAGTTTTAATTTCATCTTCAGTGACGTAATAAGTTTCTACGTAAATGCGTCGGTGTGTATTTTGCCTTAATGTTCATGGAAGCAATTTCCAATATACCTGGGCGAATTTTGGTGGTGCGAGAATGGAAGGTAAATTACGTAAAGATCCCAAGTCTAGATCGATACGTCATTATCACACAAAGGTCAAATACTTTGTGATAATTTGAAGCGTGAGGTTTTCCTTGGATGTAATGACTTTTTGTCGTGAAAATTGGAAGTGCTGATAATTACGCGGAGTTTATTTTGCATCAGACAGCGTTGTTTTGAATGATCTCTACTGTATGGTGACGATAAGCAATTAGAAAAATGAAATTCAGTGAAAATATTTGGAAAAAATCACGCGTTGTCCATTTATGTCGATAATATTCTGATAATTGTACTCACGTTAGGTTGTCGTGGTGCAACTGGAGGTTTTTGATGTTCAAATTTAATTCCTTAAAACTTCTTTGTGGCAAATCGTGTAGAGACGAGGAACTTATTTCCAGGACGATTTTTTCCGTTGGCAAGAATTTATCTCGTAGCGTATTGACGAGGTGATCGTACGAGGCCATTTTCTCACAGGTAATTTCGATTTTGTAAGTTTCATTGCTGCACTTGCACGGAGCGATATCCTTCAGAATCGAGCATTGCGGCGCTCCAAGGGTTAGGCCCAATATCGACAACAATAACGTGGACATGGTGATGTTTGGAAAATTGTAGACGAAACGTCGACTTCTCATCACATCCGCCGTAGGTGCTAAAGAGTACATTCGTTAATTTACGCGGCACACTTCACTAATCGCACACTTTATTAATAACGTAACCGTGCAAGTTTGATGGAAAACTCGGCAATTTAAATACATTTGTTAAAAAAACACCTCGAAATGAATAATTAAAGGCAATATTCGATGCTTATATATAGAGGGAAGACGTAAATGGTGTGGCGTTAATTAAATTTTTCTTTAAATGTTAATACCGGAAGCCCCGTTGTTTATAAATAATTACATTTATATAAATCACCTTCTTCATACTGTAGTAGAATTGTAACTGGCCGGCGTTGATATCACGGTGGCGCCTAAATTTTCTTACTCAGTAGCCTTGGCTGTTCGTGTCTCATCTATAGGCCATCGTAAATTCAGAGTCGGGCGCCAGGGCTGAACATATATCTTTATCAGATCTCCCTTGGGTATGTGTAAAGTAATTAAGTGTGCTGTACGCATCACAGCGATCTGATTGCATTCTTCAAGTACATGCGAGATTCTTTGATTTATTATAGACGCAAAGAACTTGCGTTGGCGCCTCCGTTCTCTCGTTATGTATAGGTATAGGCTTCTACATAATGTACCTACTTACTAGTACAAGCTAGATTTTCCAAACTATTGTTATCAGTCACGAATTTCGAACTAATTTCTCTCTATATTGGTTATGTGTTTATTTATTTGTGCATAACCAATGAGGTTCCAGTTAATTATCTCATACCAAAGGTTGAATACATTATTATCATCTATCGCTTACAATAATACAATTTTTTAGTAACGTAAGAATTTACAAAAAAAAAGTCAACAGCGATCCTTAGCTATCCGCGTGATTAATTCCACTGTTATCGCTCGTATCGCCACATTAATTACTTGCGCGCATGGAAAACGTCGAATTTGGAAATCTAAGGACGTGCGTAGATGGGGTTTTGGCAGATGAAAAAGCCAAGTAGGTCCACTGCCAACAAAGGATTATATTCCTAGATTTAGGCGGTTGCGTCAAGTGCGTTTGTGATTCGAAACTTGCCCTGTGTTACGTAACAATCATTGAATAAATAATATCAGTGCGATCGGCGAAGAGTTATAACAATTCCACGCACTCGTAAAGTGCATGCAACCATTTTTACAAATTGGTTCTTTATCGAAAGATGTCCACACTAACCGGACAACCATCTTATCATCCGACAGATACAATCAATAACAAGTGGACCAACGCTTTGACCCTCGTCGTTATCAAAAGCAAAACACGTTTTTCTAATATCCACGATGTCTTCCTCGACGGGAATCTTTTCAAACAAATTTCAAATAGAAGATTTTGGTATTATGTGCGCCTTGGTCATTGCCTCTTACTGGAATTTCAGTTTCTGTACTTAGTTAGACTCAGGATTCCACGAGATGTGTGATTAGAATTACTGTCCATTTCATGGTTTCTACTCGTGTATGGTTGTTTATACAGGGTGTTACATATAAATATGTAAAAAAATTGGTTGGTAGAGGGGATCAGTAGGCGGAGGACACTTTGTGACCCGAAGGCCAAATCTTCAAATGAGTATAACTTTTGTTTGAAAAGCGATTTAAAAAAACTGTTCGACAATTTTGTTCCTTAACTCATCAAGTATGTACAGGGTGAGTCAACGATTGCGGGGAGTAACTTAATGCCATGAAGATAAGATTTTTCGATAGAGTGCTTTTGTATTATGATATGGTTGAATATTCTCCACATTTTAAACATATTCGGAATTATACAGGGTGCGCCCACGAAGTAGGGCGCCAAAATGGTACATTTTTTTTAAATATAACCTCCTGTAATTTGAATGCATTTTTGAATTCTACGTGAAATTGTACGTCTTTTTTATTATATGGTTAATATCCCAAAAGCTAGTAGTTTTAAAGATAATTCGATTTGTAAGAAAAATTTGGTATTTGCAAGCGTCAGTATATTGTCAAAATTATTACTTAATTTTTGATTCCAGGTTTTATATCTTATCCTGGGTTAAGTAATAGTCAAATAAATACATCTACTATGAAACATTAAAAATATAGCTTACAGGGTGTTTTTTTGGTAGGTCCAAAGTTGCAAAACTTCATATTAATAAATCTCACTTTTTTAAAATGGGACACCCTGTATATTTTTCTGTCATCTTTTAGGTCCTCGAAAAACCTTCAACTTTTGATAATAATGTCCTATACCTATCCCTGATAGTTTTCGAAATATCTTGATTTTTCTGGTTTTTATATTCTAATCTTAAATAAGTTATATGTAATATACATAATAGTGAAGTGGCCATGCAAAAAAAAGCAATTTTTATCTATCTCGTCCAAAGCTAAAATCATATTAATTAATTTTTTTTTATTTATAAGGCCCTAACGGGATCAAGCCCATGATAGCCCTACCTGTTTAACAATAAGGAGATAACACTGGCCATATAGACTTCACGCAAAGGGGCCCATTTTTCGAATTTTCTAAAACTAATTTCATATTTGTGATTTTTATGTTCAAAAACTTCCAATGCCAAATTTCGTCGAAATCAGAATTTTTTTTCGCACCCCTGTTTAGGGTTTGCGCCTTTTCGCGGTAGAAATTTTGAAAATTTTTTTTTGCAAAATCGGAAACCTATTAAAAGACGTGCCACCAGTCTTTCCAACTCTTATGGTTGCTGAGAAAAGAATTAAAGAGGAAATGCAAATTTCACCACTTTTTTGGGGGTGGCTCCCAAACGAATCACGTTAGCGGTTAGGCCCTCGGTTTATTTGGAAAAAGTGCTTGTTTTGATCCCCTCTATCACCCAATTTTTTTTACATACTCATATGTAACACTCTGTATATTTAATCTACGACTCAGAACTCCTCTTTGCTTCCTTTTTCGAAATTTGAATTTAGTAACAGGTATCAGGAATGAAACTTTGTCGCTAGATATTATAGTAGGCATGAAACCAATAACTGTTAAAGTTTGGCCGCCCATTCTCTAACTAAATTTGGAAGGGAGGCCGGTGGATCACGTCACAGAGTTCGGAATCACGCTTGTATCTCAGTAACTACTAATTTTAAATGTTTTGGGCTCATTGGAAAGATAATAAAATTTGTAAATTCGCGGAATTTGCCAAAATTGGAAAAACTCGCGATTTTTTTCCTTTATGATTTTGATGATTTTTGTAAATTACGAAAAATATTTTTTCTATTTCGATGTGGAAACAATACCGAAACCGTACTTGATTGGCCCAGTTTGCGTGCGTTTCTAGACAGAAATGATGCCGAAAGAAATAGAAACGCATTATTTTTTTTATTTTGTTGGATTGGTACCCCTTGCTTTTTTGCTGTCAACGGTATCCGTCAAATCAAAACTAAACATAACCTGTAAAGTGTAAATAACGTACGAGGAACTTGACCGATTGTATTAATTCCGATTAATTTTGAATATATACTCCAAAGGGTAGAACTTTTTTTTATTTTTACTTAGCGTAGTAAAATATGCCAGCAGTACATTCTAGCTTACTTTTTGAACTCCCCTTCTCGGTGAGCCAGTTTTCAAAAATTTTGTACTCCTCGTACTTTACTTTCGATTTTACAGGCAGTAAATTTAACGTCGCTTCATTGGCAATCTCTTGGATCTCCGATGGGGTACAAGAGACGTGTTTGTCATCCGTATTCATCGTAACTGCCGCAAAATGGAATTATGACCAAATACCTAATTAAAAGTTTGAAGTTTGAAAATACAGGAATCAGGTTAGCCAACGTGAAAATAAATGAATTGTGTCTATTACCAACATACACTGAATGAATAAAATTACCTAACAACGCCTAAAGGCAATATTTATAATTTGTATAATTTATTATTTAAAATAAAAGTCGAAATAGAAAAAATAGTATAAAGCACACGTGTCATTTGTCTACTTGTCGCACTCGGCTTTTGCCGCATTCGCCGCTACGCGGCTTCTGCGGCAAACTGCCTCGTGCGACAATCTTCGTCAAATGACACTTGTACTTTAATATACTATTTATTACTTGTTTCTTCCAATCCAGGAAAATAAAAACTGTTTCGATATACTTTTCCGAGATTTAATCCGTTTTCGTAGATCCTCAGCTACACCCGTATTTTACGTGTACAGGGTCCTACAACAATATGCGTCGGTGTTTCTAAGCTCATACCTCGTAAAAACTATAAACAATTTTTTTGTGCAAATGTTAACGATAGATGGTAGCGCATGTACAGAAATTATTTTTGAATGTACAGGGTTACCCATTTTTACGGTGTAAATAAACAACTGATTTTTTTAAATAGAACACCCTGTACATATATTTTTACTTGTTTCGATGTCATTTGTTAACTTCGACATTCGACATTGAACACTTTTTCATTTTTTGTCAATGTTGCCATTCTATTTTTTTCTGAATAACGCCACGTAAGCAAGCCTCACTTTGATGAATCGTAGCCAGATTGTTTTTTTTAAGTTATGAAATAAATTTGAGTACCTAATAATGTTAGTCCAACACTTTGATATTGAGAAAGTGAGATTTAGTGATACAGGGTGTTCACAATGAAATGGTAAACTTTCCCAATTGCCACTATTTTATTTCGTTATTCGATAATCCTTTGTGTTTTCTTTACCTTTTCTAAACCACCTAGTTTTTAAGTTATTTAATACATTTTTACAAAAGTACCTACTCATTGATTAATTTCAAGTTTATGCACCGGAGTAGACCGTGATAATAAAAAATAAAAGAATGCCCTAAAGTAAATAAGTACCGCAAATTATTAATGATCCTCAGATCCATTATAGTTTTGTATTGTCGTCCGTCCGTCCGTTCGTGTGCGCTCTAACCCTTTTTAAAAGTCGTCCATTGTGTTGCAATTTGGTGTACGTGTACTTTGGACATTAAGGACGGACGCTATTGATTTTCAGGAAGCTGGTTCAGGAACAGGAACAGGAAAAACTGCGGGCTCAATATAATAGAAACCAACAAATTTCATTCCCTAGGTCATGTATCGAGTTCGGACTTTCGCTTTGTCACATGGATTTTGACCAAAATATGTCAAAATCGTTATTTATGTACCAAGATCGTTGGGAAAAAGACCAAGAGCATTATCTCAATGACGACAACACGAGCTTGATTTATTTTTGGCAACTAGATGGATTTTGATCAAAACATGTCAAAATCGTTATTTATGTACCAATCTTTATGGGAAAAAGACCAAGAGACTATCTTACTGGCCAAAACATGAATTTGATCTATTTTTGGCGGCCATGTGGATTTTGATCAAAACATGTCAAAATCGTTATTTATGCACCAAGCTCGTTGGGAAAAAGACCAGGAATATTATCGTTATTGCAATAATATCGCTGGGAACAAGATTAAAACTATTATCACAATGACCAAGGCATGAAATTGATGCATTTTTGTTAACTATAAAATGTATTTTGTAAGATTAAAATAAATTGTCGTTAAAAGTGATTGTAATACTGAGGATCCTTCGATATTTCGTTGTATCGGTTTATTATTTGCTGATGCAAGTGTACTCCATATTTCGTAGTAAAATAAGATTAATTGAAAAAGTGAAGATGAGCTAGTTTTTATTACTTTACTACGAAATATGGAGTACACTTGTAAATAATTAATTGAGGGTAGTCTTTTGCTTTTTTATTATCACGGCCTACTGCGGGGTATAAACCTATAATTAATTGGTAGCTACCACTTTCGTGAAAAGTATTGAATAACTTAAAAACTACGAAGTTTAGACATAGAGCATCCCTTATAAAAGTTGAAGAGAACACTATCGAATAGCGAAATAAAATAGTGGCAGTTCTATTTGAAAACAAAGTAGCTATGGCACTTCTGAAAATTTGCCATTTCATTGTGAACACCCAGTATCACTAAATACAACTTTCTCATTATCAAAGTGTTGCCCTCTACTCGGATTGCCATTATTGCTCAAATTGTTAACTTCAAAAAACAAGGTCGCTATGATTCATAAAAATGAGGCTTACTTATGGAGAATTATTGATTATTGTAAAAACTCTGCATTGCTAGCAGCATCAGATCTTTATAATAGTGTGCATTTATGGAATAACACCATAGATATTTTTATATGTCCCTAAGGCAGTTTCGTGTGACAATATTCAAAAACTGTAAAAAAAATGTTCACAGCATTTTTTCTTTTTAGCGCATTTCCACAAAAATAAAATTAAAAATGCGCTATTGTGGCCACTTTGTCCGTCCGTCCGTCCGTCCTTCCTCTCGTTCGTTGATACGCTACTAGTTCTTTATCTTAAGAGCTATTGTTCTACTTTTTTCGCTATTTGGTTCGTTATGGTGTCGAGGCTTGCACGAGGTAAGGAATTTTTTCTGCGTGTATTGCTAAAAAAGTTATTGTAAAAAAACCAAAAACCCGTTTTTTACATGTTCCATAATTTTACACTTTTGCCGTTTTTAACCATCCTAGAGATCGTTTATAATTTTGTATTGCTGTCTGTCGTCTGTCTGTTGGTCTGTCCGTCTGTTCCTTTGTCTGTCTGTCCCTCTATCTGTCCGTGTGAATGATAACTTTGGTTAGAAATAAATGTCCGATCGCTTTTGCATCTCCGTTAGTTATGAACTGAATTGCATGAAATTCAATATGGGGATAGCTTCAGCGATATATTACGCAATGCCAAAAGTTCAATCGAATGGATTCAAAATTCACAGGTGCCCTTTTCGCATCTCGACCATTTATAAACCGAATTGCAAACTTTTTTATTTAGTAAGTATTTAAACGAAATTTGATACATAGGCACTTGGAATAAAGGAAAATCAAACGTTAGCTTCAAAATGTAGGTTTGCGCATGCGCAGTTCCAACTTTCTTATTTATAAAAGCATTGAAATGAAATTCTTCTTATAAACTAAAATTGAAGTAGCACGCTATCTTTCATATTTGTGACCGGATTTTTACGATTTTAACAGAAGTTGCATCTTACAAATGGGAAATGAATGCAAGTTGAAATCCGCTTTATGTAAATCGTTTACGATTACTTCTTAACTTGTTTATTTTTTCTTTTGTTTTCTTTTGTCTTTTTTTATTTTAATACTCTTAACATATTTTTTTTATATTCCTTAGAATTTCGAATAGTTTTTTTTAAATTAATACATGAACATTGTTATTGGGGCAACCTGTTATGTTCATAGATAGATAAATAAATAAATAAATAAATTATTCGAAAAAAAATTAATAAGATGGCAACATTGGGACACAATCAAAAAGTGAATAGGTTTGAACGTAGAAGGCTAGAGGTTAAAATCGAAACAACTCAAAATATACAGGGTGTTTTATTTAAAAAAATCAGTTATCTATTTAGACCGTAAAAATTGGACACCATGTACCTACATTCAAAAATAATTTCTGTATATGCACAACCATCTATTGTTGACATGTTCACATAAGCATCTTTTATATTTTTTATACCAGCTATAAGCTAAGAAAGACCTACGCACTGTTGCAGGAACCTGTACAAATACAAGTTCAACTGTATCCGGATCTGATCTGGCACGCTAATTTCTTCCCTGCAATCCTGCAGTATAGAAGCAGTGGATTTTTGGTCGGGGAGCCAATTCTGAATTCTGGTTATGATGGCAAAATATTAGTTTATTATGTTATATTGGCATTTTAATAGGTTTGAATGAGTAGGCTAAGCCGTTCTTTAACCGTAAGGATAGATAAAGTAATCACTTTAACCGTAAGGGTAGATAAAGTGAAACAGATGACTGTGCATTCTAATGACATTTGTCATTCTTATTTCAAATGCACGATTAAAATGACGTAATGCCAATTCTGTTTCTATGGCAAGGATCGCGAGGGCAGAACCTGAGCTTGCTATTTTTGACGTCTCTAAATTAAATTCAAAATTGTCAGAAGCTTTACAATGATTTATATGGCTTCTGCTATAAAATAAAGTGTTGTATTATACACAACGATAAAGGGACACTAACCATCTCTCATCAATGGTTAAAATATCGCTTTATCGTCTAGCTACAAGAAATGTAAGTAGCGTATTTAGCTTCGAGCCGAGGAATATTATTCTTCCAAGAAGGTTAATAGCAACTACATTCCGGGTTGCTTATTACATTTTTCGCGCTAATGTTTAAGGGAATCGCGGGAGATGAATTATTGTGCAAATGTCAAATGTGACAGATAAGTAATTATTTTCCTCGGTATGTAAGTAATAAGAATGTAAAGTCTGCTGTCAGTAGCAACCAGTACTCTAAATGTAATTGGAGCCTTACACAGAGCCGCCGTTAGCCTCAACGGGCCTCGGGAATATTATTTGACCGGGCCTCTATAATTGAAATCTTGACCCATAGTCGATCTCAAACGGTTTTTTACCTAGCGAGCCTTCTGCCACTGTGACGTAATTAGTAAATTTTGCTCAATGGTATGGTTTTTTAAATCTTCTGCTGTGCATTTTTTTATATTCTACTCTCTCATATAGAGGTATGCATATGCAAATTTCTTACAATTAAAAATCAATTCAAAATCTCTTTTGGCCGGGCCCCCAGAATACTATCGGGCCCCGGGGTAAATGCCCCGGCTTACCCCCCTTATCGGCGGCCCTGGCCTTACATTTGACGTTGTCATGTATTAACTTACTCTTACAGAGACGAAAGCGCGAAATTCGGTTGTGGCTTATTTCATTTATATCTTTCCAATGAGCACAAGATATTTAACATCAGACAAGGGGTTACTGAGATAGATACGACCCGAATTGTGATCGGTCCTGTACACAGGGTGGTTCAAATTTGTCGCTCACAATTGGGATGGTCGTAACCGTGAGAGATAGAGTGTAGCCATTTAACATTTTTGAATATTGTTTGAAAGTAACTGAGATATCACCGAAAAACTGAAAATGTCAAATTTTATTTTCAAACTAATATTTTAGAATTTTAACCACGTTAACCCATTATTAGCAGGTGTTTGTTTCCTATGGTAAATTAAAACAAGTATTCAGGATGTCGATATTAAGTTGATAAGCGACCTTTATGCCGACCTGAGAAATTTCAATTAGCAATAGGTGTTAATTGGACTACCGATTTTAGAAATTTCAATCCGGCCAATTAAGTAAGTGAAATTAATAGTATCTAAAAAAATGTGAGCGAGCGCTCTTAATTAATTTGAATTTTAAGATCAATTACAGATTTTTAGGACGTCAGCAGGTCGCACAATTATTTAAAGAAGTTGCAATTTTTGGATGTAGATGACCGAACACACTGCGTCGGTTGGCAAACCATCGTTCTCTCCACGGCATAGCAGAATTTTATAAAAGGTAAACACTAAAGTTCCAGGGAATCTTTTTACTTTTGGTGTTTAACCGAATTTATTTTTCTGCCTCTTACATTTTCGCAAGCTACGTTTTGTAAGTGCCGTAATTTTAAGCTTTTCTGTAACTTTATTTTGCATTCATATTGTTTAATTTTTGCTTTTACATTAAGTTTACCGTACCCTGTCTACAGCTTTTTCTTGCGTTTCTTGCTCCGTTTAATTGGAAGATAAGCTTTTTGTTACTTTCCGTTACATTAATTATAAGGGAGGATATTGTTTCGCTTTCCTGCACTTACTTTCCCGTAGATACCGTTGCGGAATCAGCTTGTTTACCGTTCTCGCTTAGGGAAATTACTGTGCGCTTTAATTTTGTTTTAGCATTCACCAGTAGCCGGCCGCCGCTTTCTCTTAAGAATTCCTGGAGTTACCATTTACTCCGTTTGAGTTTTCCCGAGGCTTCCGAGATCGATCCGCAAACGGCACTGACCTTGACCAGGGGCAAGGCCGTACTCTTGGTAACGCTTAAGTCCGTCCGTCCGTCTGCCCGTCCGTCCTTTCCGCCGCCGACAGTCACTATAATTTGTAATTTTTTTTTTTGTAAACTAAATTATAATCATTATTCCGCTAATGCTTATCTAATGTTTCGTGCCATTTGTGCGCTGACCTAGTATCGAAGTGTGTTCGCAACTCTTGTACTTCTCCAAAGAAGGCTTGGTTTATTCTCGAACATGTTCAAAAGATTGCACAATTTACGCAATCATATGGAAGACGAATTTTATAATGACAAAATGGTAAACTGTGTGATATAGATGGAAATGAGCAGCCCGTGGAAGTCTTTGAATATTCGGAAATCGCACCTCTAAATAGCATTATGCGGGTTACTCTGTAATTGGGCGCATGCCTGTTGAGGACCCAAAACAAGAGAGCGATAATAAAATAAAAATAAAATAAAATAAGTAAGACTCAAATAGAATATTAGGGATTCACACTTGTTATTTGACCATAGACCTAACGAAATACTTTTTTCTACTACATTTGTTTTGATACGGGGGGGTATTGCATTATTTTTAATTATTTGCGTCAAAAACGAGGCGATCAACGTTCACAATGTAGCAATTACTAACTAGCTTAATCTGACTAATTTTATAGCTATTTTATTGCATTCCTTTATCAAACGTTATCAATAAAAAAAACCTCAACACTTATAGAATAATTTGGCTCCGGAGTACTCCTAATTATGATATTTTAATGGTTTGCTCGCAATAGGTCACTGAAAAGGAGATTTGAATAATTGCCGTCTATGAATTTAAACGCCTTGTTTTACGCCTTATATTTTCAATTTGAAGAAGATTACGTCTCAAGATGTTTGTAAATATGTGGTTAATATTAATAGCACCTACAGAGACATAGCGCCTTAATATTTTTTCACTAATCCGAATATGTAGATTACTGGACCCTTGTTCATGGCCTTATCTGACGCATTTTTTTTTGCTTACAAGTAAGTGGTCCACAATCTTCAACCTCGACTGAAAAAATCCAGTAAAAATTAAGAGGCAAATAATGCAAAAATATTGCAAGGAACATCATTGAAAGCACAATAGGGAAAAAACTTGAATGTTGAAAAATCCATACACCAGAATGGAAAAATTTGCCAGAAAAATTTGGATGGAAACATATTTTTTCGAAAATTAGCACTGGCGATAAAACCTGGGTGTGTCAATGGTATCTGCCAAGAATCAATTCAGTGGGTGCATTAAGGAACTCCATCACCAAAAAAGCGAATAAGGCACAGTGTTCAGTGGGAAAAGGGGCAAAGGTTTTTTTGGGATCATGTGGAGACAGGAGATTCTATTGATACAGTGTCTGAAAAAAAGGCACTACAATTAACGGTGATGTTTACAAAGAAACTATTCAAAACCTTACAGTTGCTAGTCCAGAGCACAGGATTTTGACTATCAGATTATACTGCTACACAACAACAGGCTCAAAAAGTTCGACAAGATATTGGATGAAATTAAGACATCTCCCTCTATAGTCCGGATTTAGCACCTTTCGACTGCTATCTTTTCCCACTTAGCAGGCATAAGAACTGCTTCTGATGAGGACCAGCAAGTTGGTGTTAGCTGCTATTTTCAAAACTATCAAAATAATTTTCTATTTATTGCAGAAAGTGTAATTGTGTAGACGTTAAAAGTATATATTTTGTTTTAAATTCTTTATCTGAGTATGTCACTTCGTAGTTAAGGCGGTAATGCAGATGAAGACTAAAGTCTATTTGAAATTTTGTTTAGAGTGCAAAGTGGACTAAGTTTTGCACGTCATTGGCTGTGGGTATAAATAGATACAAAAAATTCTTGTTTCACTAGGTGGACAAGGGACAAAATCAGCTTTGACATTTAATACTACATGCATTTCAAGAATGTTCCTAATCAAATTACAATAACGTCAATAACAACATGATATTAACACTTCAATGCATATCGTTGTCGGTAAAATCAACATCATTGAATTTATAACTATTATAAATTCAATGTCAACATGTATGACTGACAATGAGTACGAAATCACATACGATATGTAATGAATGAGATCACTTGCATAACCTATCTTGCGTGACAATTGGTTAATTAGATATGAAAATGCTATCTCTATGGAATGGAATGATTAACATTTTTTGTTGGCGGCATTCAGGACAGTCACATTGGGCTATTAGTGCAGGTGAAGTTTGCCCCTAATTATTTATAAATAAAACTTGTGATGATCTTAGCCTCCTACTATCTTGGTGGCTAACGCCAACTTCAAGTCACACTGGAATATGGGACCACATTCGGTAGTAGCGGGAATGCCAAACTAACATGGCCGCCTATTTGAATATTCTCGCTTACATTTCCCGCGAGAATCTGTCACTCTGGGGCCACTCCGAGTGCACTAAGATCGTGATCGTCATGTAGGACACCTACGTGTGTAATAACTGGGTTCTCAGCAGGCACTTAGGGTGTTTTATGGGTAAGGAACACCAAAAGCAATAGTTGATTAAGTTTATATTGCAGCTAATACCAAAACTGTGCCCCTGCAGAGGGTCTTAAGTGGTTCTATACTACTCTGGCATTTACCTTACGAATTACGAAAACTGCAAGAAAACCTAATTCGGAGTAGTCCTATAATGAACAACATCCAATGTACAGCACTTTTGATCCCTCTCGAAACCGGGGTAACTACTACAAACACGCTATGAGTAACCAAAATGGGATCAAGCCATTCCCCAGATATTACAACACATACATCGGACAAAACTAAGAAATGTCAAATATACCTCGCCGGGCGGGAGGAGTACCCAAGACCAGTGGAGACCCTGTAGTCATGGGCTAAAGTTGTTGGGTTCGGAACGAGTGAAAATGTTAGTGTTAGGTTCACCAAGGCCGTATAAACTTGAATAGCTCGATCCCCTCTAAACAAGCACACTTCTCTCTTGATTACTCACAGTCCCAAGTAAGCAAATATAATGAAATGCAATTGAACAATCGAGAGTGACTAAAAAGCACAATACACAAATTAAATATGTACACATGCAAGTATGTAAAGCACAGATACAGCCCTACCGACAATGAAACATGATTGCCAATACCAACAAAGGTTACACATTAAAGGTACAAGTGATTGAATTCAGTAAGTACATAAATAAAGGGTTACAATCTGCATTCAAGTTACACACATTTATAGATTAATTGAATAAAGCAAATACCTCACCTGATATAACAAAGCAAAAGCACACAGCAATGATTAAGGTATAACAAAATATTTCAAGACAAGCCGTACTTTACACTTCAGCCGGTTACAAGAAAAAGACCATGAACACACATGTTAAATCCTATTTATTTGACCAACCCAAGCCACGCGGTAATTTGATCTGCTAATACCCCTAAACCACCCCAAAATCGCCCATTCCCTGCATTTCCCGCATTTCTAAGAAAAAAGTGGACTGCAGGTGTTGAAATTGTAAACACATGTCGTCTTCCAAGAAATTCCATCCGTCTCATCTTCGCTCTCTTTCCCTTTTCTGTAATCCCACCAGATTTCTGTTGGCAGCTTGTGTAACCTACATGATGTATAGGGTGCTTCGTATCGACAATCATATTCACAGGACGTTGTTAAGGTTGGGGCATCTCAAACTTTGCAATCGCAATTAAAATTCTGGAGGCCATCGCATCTAGAATTCTTGATAAATCTTAGAAAGAGTTCCGTCTTAAAAAATGAATTGAAGATATGGAGCGCTAACATTGCACAATCCCATTGTGTCAAAATCAAAGTACTATTCAGAGTCGTGATAAGATCAATCTGAAACACATGAAAGAATTAAAACAAAATCCCTGAGAGAAAAAAAAGTTTTGTAACTATTTGGACATATTACCCCGCACGCATGCGGTCGACAATTAAAATAAAAAAATCTTAAATTACAGTTTTTTCATAATACTCCAAACAATCTAATCGTAAAAGGTTTGCGATATAATTTGCACTTAACTCACACACAAATATTAACAGTTCCTGAACTTCACTTAGCTTTATAACAGAATTAAATGACGAACAAAACTGGCTTGATGAGTAAGATGACAAATTTTCGGAAGCTGTTTAGACGATAGAACCTTTTAACTTTTAGTAAGAAGAGAACCTTAACGAGAGGCCTCGCTGTGCATTACAACATTTTTTCCGCAATCGGAAAACACGCGTTAAGGGGTCGTCTAATCACGTGACGCTCGAAACGGGATGAGGGGGCTAGAAATCACCAAATATCACAAAAAGAATAGGGGGTGTAGTGAGATAATCAGGTGTATTTCTTTTGTCGCTAAAACGCTTTATGCTCGTGAAAAACAACCTGCAACCTTAATGTCTGTCTGGACGTTTTTATCACCGTCCGTAATTTTCCAGAATGAAATAAAGTTATAGGAACTTATTTAACTGCATTTAAAGCACCCTTCAGGTTTTTCACTTGGCTTCGGCCAGTTTATAAATAAAAAAACAACATGTTCGTCTTATCCGTCTTCAACGTTTGTAATTTACCGTTTTCCTGTTAACTTTCACAGTAAGTACTAGCTCTTAATGTTTTCAAATTTGCTATATTGTGATACACTTCTAGTCGCCTGATGATGGCAGTACGCCGAAACTATAGTCGCTGTTATTTTTAAAAAACTTCAACGAATAAAACTATATGGGGAAGTTAAGAGATTTTTGATACATAATTATATTTCAACCCCCATTTCGAGGAAGCGATGGATCCAACTCAAAAAAAAAAAAAAAAAAAAAAAAAAAAAAATGCATTTAAAGATAATATTCTCAAAATGTGTAAGATACTTTATATGTACTAAGTAATACACGTGATTTTGAGTAGGGTCACGTATCACCAGGGGGAGGGAAGGTGATTAATAGCCGACCGCTAAACTTCTTACACAACTTTGGTTAGCTTGCTTCTGCACAACTTCATTATAAAAATACGTCTACTAAACAAGTAGAGCTGAACGCCCGAAATAATTCACCATTTCTGCGCCCTTTGGAAAGTTATGTACTTATGTATTGTATATATGTATGTTATTTACTTAAATTTAATAAATCTCCAAATTTTGTGAA